GAAGGGTTCTGCTCTAGGAATCAGGCATTAATAAGGAAAGGTGCAACATTTGCATCTCTGAATGGCTTGAACCAATAATAGCATTTAATCAGCCTCAGCCTCACTTCTAGGTCACTAAATCAATTTATCCCAGGTCCATAGCCAGGGTCAGCTTCTTTTCAGACTGCAGTAGCAGCTCCTCTATATATTTACCTGGCAGCAAGTGTCAGCCTCTAGACACAGCCCTCATTCTTCTTGCCAACAGCTTCCCCAAATGTCTTATAGATATCTATCAATTCTTTTTGTACCTAGACATGTTCCAGATGGCTATTAGATAGTTTGGTGAGAGAAGATAGGCTAAAACTGGGAGGGAGAATAGTTGGTTGACTTGAGTTGAATAACTGGAAACTGGGTTTTCCGGATTAGGGGTATAATGCTAGGTTAAAAAAAACTAACTCATGTTTAAAGTCAGTGTTCTTATTAACAGGTTAATCTCAGGATGATATTATGCTAAGCAGGGTATCAGACAACCAGGAGCAAACTTCAAATTCACTTGTACGTGGCAAGAGTAAATTCTTAGGTCAAAACAAAATTAAATCTGGCTATGTTTATTCTAGGGGCTCAGACCTTCACCATCATCCCTTTTCTACAAAGGATGTCTACAAAAGAAGTTTCAGAAAGAGATTAAAGTACACAAATATATGACCCTGTCCCCTTACAAAAGATTGGAAAGAGAAGGCTTGCCAAAATTCGAGGCTAAACAAAAATCAGGATAATTCCTAGATTTGCCTATAAGAGCAGCCAGGTTATACTACCTGTAAAACAGTACCTTCACCTTTAATCCTCTGGCTTTAGTTTATCCCATCAGGATCTACAGTGAATCATTTGTGTGCAGTCCTGTTTTCCCAGAGACCCTGGGTGGGGGGGGAGGAGATGGGGAGAAAGGGAGCAGCTCTCTGTCTCTGATGGGCCCTAAAGAAGTTTTTTGTGGGGAGGTCATTGAGGGATTCGTGACTACTTGTAGATCTGGTGTACCTTGGGGGTGGTGGGGGGGAGCGCTGAGGCTTAGAATAGTGGAGAGAGTAGGTAGCTATTCTGGAAGCCCTGTGCCCGATCCCAGCCTACCCTGACTATTTGGAGCACACAGTCTTGGGGAAGCATTCCTCCTTAAATCGTCCCCAATCCTACTATGTAGACAGGGAGTGGACCATGGAGATACAGTCACCTGTGGCATCTTCCCCAAAGGCAGATGGCAAAGCCTCTTCCCCTAGGGATGCTTTGTGACCTATGTCATCTTTGAAAGGGGCCTGTGAAAGCTATACCAATCCAACCCCCTCATTTTACAGATGAGGACATTGAGACGCAAAGAGATTTGCCCAAGACCACCCGGCGAATCCTGGCAGCGCCAAGACGAGAATGCAGTAGGTCTCCTGCTTCTCGGTCCAGTGCAGTCTGTCCTTCTGCCCTCCAAAATTCTACCTATCCCTACTCTTACCGTGCACCAGCTTCCTCATCTCCCGGTACCTAGACCACAGGTAGGCGCTGGGCTCGGGAGACTGGGCGGCAGGGGCTGGGACGGCACTACGCTGGGCAACCCCGTCAGGGAAAGAGTAGGAGGCGCTGGCGACGGGACAGTGGGCGCCGGGGCTGGAGGAGCCTGCACAGGCGGGGCCGGGGACCGAGGGACCGCAGCCTTGGCAGGAGGAGGCAGCAGCAGCTCGCTGCCAGCCGGGGACATCGTCTCTTCGGAGCCGTAACCAGCGGCACCCCACCGCTCGAAGTCCCGCGCCGGCCATTCCCTCTGCCCGGTGACCCGCTTCCCGGCCAAGCTCCCGCTCCGGCTCCTGCCCTCGGCCCCGCCAGCTGTGCTCTAGTCCGCAGCGGCCGCATGTTTCCTTAGTGCGGCCAGCCAATGGCTGCCGTGCCGGCCTTCCAGTCGGCCAATGGCCGGGGCTCCTGGCCAGGTGCTGATTGCTGGGGAGGGGCTGCGGTCCCCTCTCACCCCTCCAAGGCCCCCGCCCATTTGAGACGGGAAAGAGGGAGTGGACACGACGGGCGGCGGGGACCGGATACTAGCAGCAAGACCAGGAGCCAGTGTTCTCGCACAGCCCCGGCTAGCCAGCCGATTGCCTCGTCGGAGGGCGCCATGGCCCCGAGCTCTCCTACCAGGCTTGAGACACAATAGGAGTCCAGGAAACTAGTTGAATGGAATCGGGCAGATTCTAACTGCAGCTGCTGTCACCTCGCCGCCAGTGAGACTTAAAGCTACTAGCTTGACTTCACAACAGCAAGGTCACAACATCCGTGAGGCGGAATGCAATTCAGTTCGGTTTGACCTGCACCCATGAAAGCGGCTCGAATGCGCGTAAGGCTCTGTGCCCGAGAACACAGACTACGATAACAGTCCCTGCCTTTAAATTACAATCTAAGAGAAGGGATTTTAGAGTTAGGCCGACTTAATCCTCTTTTGGAAAAGGCTCCGGTCCTGGCTCTCTTTGGTCTGTTGCTTCACGAGTTATAAAGTCCAGAATTGGTTCGTTAGTAATGATAATATAGAATAACAATAACTAACATTTATATAGGGCTTACTATGTAATGAAATATCCCATCTCCACCAACTATCCCCTTCCTAGCGTGGAACCTATTGACTTCCTTAAGTAGCCCTAGACACTTTTTTTTTTTTAAACCTCTAACATACATTCTATTGTGTCTGCATTTATTTATGTTCTTTTAAAGTGTTCTCAGAGTCACTTTGATGTGCCTTTTCTTTGCTCTGCTTCTGCTGGACTATGCTGGTCACCCTTCATTCAAAACATTTCCATCAAAAAGCATCTGTGATGCTGCACCGGATGCCTGGCAATACAATGGGATTTAGCTACATGATTCCCCGCTGCTAGGTGTACGTGCCATTGGGTATACACCACACACTTTGCACTGGGGAAAATATGCAAAGGCATACATGCAAAGGCATGAGAACACTGAGTAAACAAACACACAGAAAAAAGGAATTTATGTTGCTTACTTTGTTAAGGGTAAGAGCATTGTTTGTTGTGGGAGCTCTTGAGGCCATTAGGGACACAGGGATTAGCATTTAGTTTCTTCCTCTCAAACTTCATCTCTGAACTTATTTTGCCAATTTTGCCACCCACAGAATGTCATTTCTATAGATCTTGGTAAACAGAGAAAAAGCTGGAAAAAGAATGTCTCTGAGGCTCACTTTTCTCCTGCACTTCCACCATCAGCTAAGGTGATTTTCTCACACTGAAATCAAACCAATTGGTTGGGAAACTGAGGCCCTGACAGGGAAAAGCCCAAGATGACACAAAAAATTAATGGCAGATTGGGGATCAGAACCCAGGTATCAGTCCTAGTGCTCTTTCCACTACTCCAAAGTGGTTTATAACTTTCCTCTTCAGAATTCTTACAGGATTGCTCCTCCACTGGCTTTAAGATTTACAAAGGTGCTTTCCCCATAATGATCCCCTTAAGTATTTGGTATACTCATCATTTTCCAATCAAAGGATCAGTGGCAAGAGAGCTTAAGTGATCTTAAGCCAAAGGTCACACAGCTAGGTAAGTGTTAAACCCTGTGAACTGAACCCAGGTCTTCTGATTGTGACTTGATTCTTTTCATCACCTTGCACTCCCTCCTACTCTGCCAATCTGGCTTTCTTACTCTTCTTCTTACCTCCGCTTCCCGACTCCACACTTTTGCACTGGCTAACATCTATTCTGGAATATACTCCCTCACCATCCCTGCTGTTAGCATCCTTGGTTTCCTTCAAGACTCAGCTCAAGCACTACTTACACAAAGAAGTTCTTGACCCTTCCAATTGCTTGTGCCTCTCTGTCTCTCTGCCTCCCCCTCCTCTATTTGCCTTGTATATACTTTGTACAGGGTGACCCAAAAGTCTAAAACTTTTGTCTTTTCTGATAGAGTAAAAGCTTCTTGAGGGCAGGGACTGTTTCCTTTTTGCCCTTGTATCTCCAGTACCCAGCTTAGTACCCGACGTCTAGTAGGCGTTTAACAAATACTTGATGGTTGGTCGAAAGCGTGCAGGTAGAGCAGTGAAAAGATGGTTCTTTCCTATAGGAAGCCTAACGGTCCTAAGTTCTGCCCAGAACCGAAGCACAAGGTTTCTGAAATCCCATCCCAGCTCAGTCCCACCCACTCTTTACGTTGTATAGATCTTGCATGTACATAGCTGTTGGTATGTGGTCTTTCTCATTAAACTATGAGCTTCTTGAGGGCTGGGACTGTCTCTTGCCTTTCTTTGTATCCTCAGTAATTTGCACAGCGCCAGGCATGTAGCACTTAATAAACGCTAGTAGACTCACTTCCCAATTCTCCAGACCATTCGTTCTCCAGCCATCCTCAGCTCCTCCCTTATCCTACTTCAACCCCACCCCTTCTGCCGAAACCCCGCCCCTCTGTCTCTTTCTCCTGCCCCGGTCCCCCGCTTCCTACCTCAATCCCGCCCCTTCTGCCCTAGCTCCTTCATTCTGCTCTATCCATCCCTTTCTCCAGCCTCAGCCCTTCCCTTGGCTTAGCTCAGACCTGCCTCTTCTCTCGGGTGCTCGCCTCCTGCCATAGCCCCGCCCCTTTCCCACTCTAGCTCCCCCTCCCGCCCCTACTTCAACCCTCCAGCTCCCAATCCCCGCCCCTTCTGCCGTAACCCCGCCCCCTCATGTTCTAGGCCGGTCCCTTTCTTTTGCCTCGACCCCTGCTTCCTGCCTCAATCCCGCCCCTACTGCTCTGGGCTCGCCCCTTCTGCCGTAGCCCCACCCCTCCTGCTCTAGGCACGCCCCTTTTCTACCTCTATCCTTCCCCTTCTGCCCTAGCTCCTCCGTTCTGCTCTATCCGTCCCTTTCTCCGGTCTCAGCCCTTCCGTTAGCCTAGCTCAGTCTCGCTCCTGCTTGGTTGCTCTCCTTCTCCTGCCATAGCCCCGCCCCTTTCTCGCTAGCTCCTCCTCCTCCCTGAAGCCCCTGCCCTTAGTTTCCCACTTCCGTTCTGTCCGCTGGGGCTGGGCCTTTTCCCCGCCCAGTTTCCCGGCACCCCCCCACGAGGCGTCGGCCTTTCCTGCAGAGCTCGGGGCCGTTGTCGCGGACTGTCCGCCCGGCCTCCTCAGGTGAGGGCTTGCGGGCCAGGGCTTCGGGAGCCAGGCGCGCCGAGCCCCGGTTGGCTGGTGTTGCGAGGCGTTGGCGGAAGGTAGCCCGGCCCTTCTCCTCCCGCTTCCGGGGCCCGGAGGCTCGGCGCTGCTTTTCTTGTCCCGCCGGCACCTTGGCCCTTCCAGCCCCGGGGAGCAGCCTCTTCTTAGGGTCAGAGCCTTTAACGAAGCGTCTGCCCAACCCCTTTGTCCTACCGATAGGGAAACTGAGGCTGAGAGAGGTTAACAGTGACCTGCTCGTGGTCACACAGGTAGGAGGTGACAGAGCCAGGGTTTGACCCTAGGTCATGTTTTCACGACACCAGAACCCCGAAGGACGCTTGACCTCTCCACGCCGGTGCTGGAATCCCTGGCGTCTCTGACAGGCTCATCCCACGGGGGCTGGGACACCCCTGAGTCCGACGGCAGGGTCCTTATTGGGACACTGTCTCAGCCGAGCCGGGCAGCTGCCAGCCCCTTCTTCCCTGGTCTCATTCTCTCCTTTCCCCTGTTGTGCATGCATTCACATGCCCAGGATGCACTCAGAGGGCTGCCCTTTTGGAATCTTTCCTTTGCTTTAAGACCTCTGTCAGATGGCACCCCCTCTATGAAGCCGTCTTGGATGGCCCCCAACTGAAAGTGACCTCCAGTGTTCCAGTGGGTGTGTGATGTCATTGAAATAACCACCCACCCATCCTGTGCACCTTTATCTTGGGACTCCCCTCTAAATCAGACTTTACTAGAGTACTTTGGTTAGGCCTCTTCTTTGTCCCCATGTATATTTTAGTAATTTTTTTTTTTTTACTAAAAATTTAGTAACTTTTTGGGTAATTTTTAGGACCCGGTACTGCTAAGTTGATTGATGACTCCTCGAAGGTGGGCATATAGCAATTGGTTCCAGCCTAATGGAAATATGCAGCGCTAATTCGAATAATGAGACCACTTCAGGGGAACTACTTATTCCCACTAATCTGGACCGAGTTCTATATATATACACATATATATGTGTACAATGAGCTGAGCAGTGTTAAGTGATACAGTTTTAAGCTATATGGGGGTTTTTGAAGTGCTTATCGTTTGATCCTCACAACAGCCCTGTGACCTGTCTGACCCTTTGTTACCCCGTTTGTGGTTTTCTTGGCAAAAAGAGTGGTTTGCCATTTCCTTCTCCAGCTCATTTTACAGCTAAGAAAACTGAGGAGAGCAGGGTTACGTGATGTGCCTGTGAGTTAGGTGCTATTGGCTCCATTTTAAGGATGAGAGAGCTGAAGCTGAGAGATTAAGTTACTTGCCCCAGGTCAAAGAGGCAGTATGTATTTGAAATAGAATTTGAACTCGTACCTTCCCCCTACTGAGCTCAAAACCAAGCTGCCTCCCTGATTAAGCAAAGGGTAGTCTGTATTGCTGTTGGAAAATCATACTTCACTTTCACAGTAATCCTAGTCTTCTTCCTGAAATAAAAATCCATCTTATTTTTAAAAAATGAACTTGATAAGCATCAATAAAAACGAACATTTCCATATGAAGAACAGAAAAAGAAGACTGTATATAAAACTGAATATTATAGTTTCTTTTAAAAAATATACATAAAATTTAACAAGGTGGTACCAACATTACCCTGCTTATCTGTGCCCCTTCTGAACTTCTGTTTTCTTTTGTGTGTTTTAAAAATGTTTCATTGATGTTCTTTTTTCATCTCTTGTCTCTCTTTCCTGCCTGCTTACCCCACTCCTCACAATTCCCACCAACTCCCTTCTTGGTTTCAAATAAGTATAGTTAAGCAAAACAAATTCATACATTGGTTGTGTCTGAAAATGTATGTCATTCTCTACCTACTGACCATCTCCTCTTTGCTAAGAGGTAGGAAGCAAAAAAGTTGATATCTATGTGTGTATTCTATAGACTGATACTCTAATGAAGTTTTTCTTGCTCTATAGAGTAACCCTTTGGTAATTCAATTGGCATGGCACTGAATAAATAAATTTGAGTACTATTGTCATTTTTATTATATTGGCATGGTCCAACAATTATTTAACTCTTTATTTCTGGGAAGAATGTTTTGTAGATGTATTTATATAATTTACATAATTACAGTGGTTATATAATTAACCTTGGTTAGGTAGACTTGTATTTTATACATTCTCATTATTTCAAATGGAATTTCATTTTTCTATTTCTTGCTGCTGGATTTTGTTGTTAATATATAAAAAAGTTGATATCTGTGTTTATTCTATAGCCTGCTACTCTACGGAAGTTTTTGTTTCAGTTGTTTTTTAGTTGAATCTCTAGGTGCCCTGAGTAAATTATTATAGTATCTGCAAAAAGTAACAATTTTGGTTTTTTGCCCATGCTTAATTTTTTTCATACTACAATAGTTAGCATTTCTAGGACTATATCAAATAATAATGGTGGCAAAGAATATCCTAATCTGAGAGGCTGTTAGTTTTTCTCCATGATAGATAATGATTGCTCTTGGTTTTAGATACAATTTACCATATTAAAGAAAGGTCCATTTATTCCTTTACTTCTTAATTTTTTTTTATATAGATGAGATTTTTACTGTTTTTCATTTTTCACACAGTTGATTATGTTTCTAGTCTTCCTAGTTTTAAACCAACCCTGCATTTGTAGTATGAATCAATTCCTGTAATAATATTGTATCTTTTTAATCTGTTTTAACCTCTTGCTAATATTTTATTCTATGTTTTTGCGTAGCCATTCATTAGAGATATTGGTCTATATTTTTCTTTCTCTGCTTTATCTCTCCCTGATTAGGCATCAGGATTATATTTATCTCATAGGAGGTGGTTGGTAGGATGCATTCTCTCTTTTTGAAAACAGTTTTTGTAATATTAAAGTTATTTTTTATGAGATAATTAACCCCATTCTACTTTATACATTATACATTATATTTACATATATATTTATACCTTCTACATTCTACCCTCCTTAAGTCAAATCCTATGAGAAAAAGATTCACTCATTTCCTCTCACCTTCCCCCGGTTCTCCTCCACTGTAAGGCCCTTTTCTTTTCTGTTTTTTTGTGAGATAATTTACCCCATTCTACTTCTCCCTTTCTCCTTCTCCTAGTATAATCCTCTCTCACCCCTTAATTTTATTCTCCAGATCTGACCCCTTCATTTTCAACTCACCCTGTGCCCTCTATCTATCTATCTATCTATCTATCTATCTATATCTATATATACATACATATAATTTTTTTCCCCTCCAACTATCCTAATACTGACAGAGGTCTCATGAGTTACAAATATCATCTTTCCATGCAGGAATGTAAACAGTTCAACCATAATAAGTCTCTTATGATTTTCTCTTTCCTGTTTACCTGTTCATGTTCCACTTGAGTCTTGTATTTGAAAATCAGATTTTCTATTCAGCTCTGGTCTTTTCATCAAGAATGCTTGAAAGTCCTCTATTTCACTAAATGACCATTTTGTCCCCTGCAGGATTATACTCAGTTTTGTTGGGTAGGTGATTCTTGGTTGTAATCCTATCTCCTTTGCCCTCCAGAATATTATATTCCATGCCCTGTGGTCCCTTAATGTAGAAGCAGCTAAATCTTGTGTTATCCTGATTGTGTTTCTAAAATTAATTTTTTAAATGTTTGATATAATGCTCTTGTAAATCCAACTAGTTCTAGTGTTTTTGTTTTTTTTTTGATGGCTTGTTCAATTTCTTTTTCTGAGTTTGGGTTATTTAAATTCTGTATCCTGTTAATCTGTATATTGTATATTTTATATTTCATAAATACCCATTTTATTTATTAATAGTTTGCTGACATATGATTGAGCTTCAAACTGTTTCTCTTAATTTATCATGAATTTTCCTTTTTTACTTTTGATTTGGCAATTTATTTTTTCTCTTTTTACTTTATCAAATTAGCTAACAGTTTGCCTATTTTATTGTTTTTTTTTTCCTTCAAAAAAACTAGCTACCAGTTTTATTTTTCAATTTAATGGTTTTTGTTTTCAGTTTGGTTATTTCTGTGATAAAATCTATCTTTTAAACACTAATATTCTTTTTTTAATGAATGTTGCTATAAGTCATCATAGAATATTCAACTGTGAGAAATAATCCATATAGGTGACCCAATGGGCAGTGGAGAGACAGATTCTTTTTTGGAGCTGGAAACTTATCAATGTGGGTTCTCCCTTTAATGATGCACATCACAACCTGTCTATGTCCTCATCCTCTGTCTTCCTCTGTCCTCGTCCTTTCCTAAATCTCAGCATACTGAGAGCTGGCCTTCAGATCCTTTTGACATTTCATGGATAGCACTGGAGCAAAACAGGCTGATCATTAGTTATCCTTTACTCCTGTCACGTGAACAGCCCGCTTACCTTTCTGGGTTTATATCTGTCTTGACAACTGTTTAATTTTATTTTTCAATTCAGTGGCTTTTGCTTTCAATTTGATTATTCCTCTATGTTTTTAACATCCATACTCTTCTCAATATGTTGCTATAAATCATGGAATACCACAATCTCTGAAGAATCCAAATTGTAAGCAAAGAAACTGAGGCCAAGAGATTGTAGCTTTGCCATGGTCATGTAGCTACTTAGTTATAGAGTTAATCACAATGTAGTTTTGTCTTTTGGTTCCACATATCCCAGTATCCTTTGTAAAATATGGTACCCAGAACTGAACAGAATACTCCAAATGGGGCTGAACTGACTCAGAAAACAGTGACACTCTTCTTTATAACACCCTGTTATTTCTGTTAGTGCTGGTTTAAAAAACAAAACAAAGTAGACCCTTTTGTTTCAGGAATTGCCTTTTAGTGTTGTAGAAAGAGCAGTACGGTGGATAGACTTGTCGTCAGGAGAAATGGGGCCTGTCTTTGGGTCTTGTCTTTGAAATCGAGGAGCTGTGGGACCAGCAACCTCTGGGAACCTCTGGGGACTTGAAAGTGTTTTGTGAACATGAAAGCTCTACAGAGGGAGTTCCCATTTAAGAGCCATGAGGCAGGATCAGTGAGCCTCCCTGTAAATGAAAAGCTGAACAAAATAGAAGCTGAGGCTGCTGGAAGAGCTGCACAACATCTTGCTTTCCATCTATAGTTTCAGTTTATTTCCCACGAAGTCTGGCTGACGCCTTGGAGATGTTCACAAGGAAACACGTGAAGCGACTTCTGCAGAGGGTACCTGGACAACAGCGCTTTGGTGTCTATAGGTTTCTTCCTTTCTTCTTTGTTCTGGGAGGAGCGATGGAGTGGTTTATGATCAAAGTCCGAGTTGGCCAGGAGACCTTCTGTAAGTGGACATAAAGATGGTACTGGGGACGTGTCTTTTAGTTTGAGCATTCAAATTCAGATCCATCGCATTTACAAAGCATTTACTGGATTAGGCTCTGGGGTGGCTCATAATTTGTCATTTAACAGGCCATGATAACAGACCTAGTTGTATGCATGGTAGTCCGTCAGACCAAAGAGAAACAAAGTGTTCCCGGAATTGAGACAGCACAGATGTCTTGTGGGGCCTCGCCTGCCTTTTAAAATTCAGAGCACCAGTCCTGTGCAGCAGTTCCCTGGTATAGAAAATTGTGTTTTAAAAATCAAATCTAGGATTTTAGTCATTCTAAAGTTGAAAGTCTCAGCTCAAAGCTGGTTTTAAACTTGCGTGGATCATGCAATCCAGAATTGTGTTCTATTCTATTGATTTATTTTGCTTCTTGTCTACAGAAGTGTTTGCATGAGACTCTACACAAATGATTCTTGAATAATACATAACATGTGGCCATATCCACACTTTCGGCCTGCCTTGTACACAGATTAATACTAACATCCTTCGACGTTGTAGAGTTAGTTTCACATTTCACATTTCAACTATGTAGTTCACATGATCCAATTAATTAGGCTAGTGCCTCCCTGCTCACATAATTAGTCATGCTCCTTACTGTCTCTGTGCTGTTTCATTAATCCAGGCAGCATTTATTAAGTGCCTTTTGGGTTCATGACACAATGGCAGGTGCTATAAATATGAGACAAGAATGAAGCAGATCTTGCCCTCAAAGAGCTTACATTCACTGGGAGGAATGTAACATGTAAACCAATAAGCATATACATGATAATTGGAGAAGCCATCATTAATAAGGCAGTGAGGAAAGGTGGCCTGACTGGGGAGGGAGCACTTTCCAGGGACGGGGTTAGCCAGGGCAAAGGCATGGAGGTGGAAAGTAGGCTTCCAAATTCCCACCACAAATAGGCCAGTTTGGGTAGAGTGTATGAGGGGGAATAATGTACATTAAACCTAGAAAAAAAGGCTGGTTTAAATGCCAAGCTGAGAAGTCTGAATTTTATTCTAGAAATAACAGAAAGCTCTTGAAATTTCTTGAGCAGGGGAGTGGCTTGGTCAGATTTGTGCTTTAAGAAGGTTATTTTGGCAGCTGGTTGGAGGATGGATTGGAGAGGGGAGCCACTGTAATCTGGGAGTCCAGTTAGAAAGCTGTTGTAGGGGGCAGCTAGGTGGCACGGTGGATAGAGCACCGGCCCTGAAGTCAGGAGGACCTGAGTTCAAATCCTGCCTCAGACCAAACACTTGACACTTACTAGCTATGTGACATTGGGCAAGTCACTTAACCCCAATTGCCTAAAAAAAAAAAAAAAAAAGAAAGTTGTTGTAATAGTCCAGATGAGAAGGATAGAGGCCTGAACTAGGTGATAGCCATGTGATTGTAGGCAAGGAAACAAATGCAAAAGATCGAAGAGGTAGAATCAACAAACCTGGCAATTGATTGGATAATAGGGATGAGGAAGAGGGGAAGAATTGATGATTCTGAGGTTGTGAACCAGGATAGTTGAAAGGGGGGGTGGTGGAATAATGAGTTCCATTTTGCATGTATTGACTTCAAGATGCTTATTGGATATGCAGATGGCGATGTCTAATAGTCAGGTGGTGATTTAAGACTGGAGCTCAGCAGAGAGACTAGGACTCTGTATCTATGTTTATGTCTGTATTTATATCTTTGAAAGTCATCTGCTTAGAGATAACAGTTGAACCCATGGGAAATAAGATTACCAGGAGACAAGGTTCAGAGAGAGAAAAAGGAAAAGGGTGCAGGACAGAACATTCATTGGGGAACATCCACAGTTAGGGGTAGGACATATGTGATGATCCAGCAAAAGTTATTTCCCTCACTCAGAATCACTCACACTTCCAAATGCTTATGCAAATCCTGCTTCTCCTTCAGGGTCCCCTGGTTCCTAAATCCTCCAGCCCTCCATCACTACCCTTTCCTTTCTGTTATAATGGAACCTATCTTTGGTGTCATCAATTAGCACTTTATATATTGTATTGTATTATTGTATTGTCTCCTATCTCCAGCTAGCCTATAAACTCCGTGAGGTTAGTCATTGTAACTTCTCTGTCCCACAACACCGAAGTAGCTACTCAAGAAATGCTTATTAAGTGATGTCATCTTTGAATATGTAAGGTATAATGCAGAGCCCTTATTAAAATTAAATTTATCTTTATATAGAATAGAGACCAACCTTTAGTAGTTTGGAAATAATCAATTGCCCTTGTAAACATTAATTTGTAACTCTTCTGAGTTTGAAGAATTTTTTTCACTTCTCAACTGTTTTTTCAAAAGAATAATCAGAATTTTTATTTTTCCCAGATGATGTATATCGAAGGAAACAGTCAGAGAGACAGTACCAGAGAAGGCTGGAAGAAGAATCTTGAGAAGCATGAATGATGGAGCCTTAGTTTTCAACAAAATAAGTAGCCCGAACTAACTTTAAATCAAATGTGAATGTGAAATGTTACCACTTGTGGGTCCTCCATCATGTTAGAAGCCCATTCTTTGGAGCCCTCTTGTGGCCAGATCACAGATCCTTCACCTCCTGTACAAAACATCTGTGTTGAAGAGTTTTCTAACTAGCTATTTTCATACTTTAGTGTTTCTAAAGCAGTATAAGGATTCTTCAGGAGGGTTTTCAGAGCAGACTGAATTAAATGAATGTTTTAGTCATTAACAATAATTTTAAAGTACTGCTTTTTGCTGAAATCTTAAATAAATTAAATCATAAACAAATACATGATACCAGCGTTCTTTTTTTAAGAGGAGAAATAAAGTATGATTGTCCTTAGAGTAACTGGGCCAGATAAATATTTTGCATATTAAAATCCTACTTTCTACCTATCTTTAAACATTTCATCTTACTGGAAACTCTTGGGTTTTCTTTATCTTAGTCATGATCTACCCATAGTGGTTCCCTTTTGCCAAAAGGATAAAATAAACCTCTTGACTTGGCATTCTAGGCCCTCCATACTCTGACTCTAACCTACCTGTCCAGCCTTATTTCACCTTACTCCTGTTCAGGTGCTTAATAGACCAGCTGCATACTTACTGAGTCTTCAAACAGTTAATGATCTCTTCTCTCTCCACACTCTTTCCCTTGGTAATCTCATTCACTCTCACAGCTCCAGCTACCACCTGTGTTCAGATTACTCCCAGATGTAGCCCTCTAGTCCTGGCTGCTTCTGAGTACTGGATCCTTACCCTCCAACTGGCTAGAAGAGAGGTGGGGACTTCCAGCCTTCTTACCCCTCATCTCCAGGTATTTTACAGTCCACTGGCCTTCTTGCTGTTCTTGCGTACAACAAGACTCCAGGTCTTTTTACTAGATGTCCCTCATGCCTAGGTTACTCTCTCTCCTCATCTCCACCTCCTGGTTTTCCTGGCCTCCTTTGAGGCTCAAATCCTACCTTCTGCAGGAGGCCTTTGGCTATTCTCTTATAATGGTCATGCCTTCCCTCTGAGATTATCTTGAATTTATCCCAAATAGATCTTGTTTGTTCATAATAATTTGCCTGTTATCTTCCCCATTAGATTGTAAACTCCTTCTGGGCAGGGACTCTTACTTTTCTTTGTAGCACTTAGCATGTGTGGCACATAGCAGGCACTTTAATGCTTCTTGACTTTGACTTGAAATCTGTTCTGTCTTCATATTTCATCATTTCTGTTAGTGATGTTTTCTCCCATGTTCAGTGCCTTGATGTTATCTTGACTCTTTCCTTTTCCTCAAATCAATTCTTCTCAATTCTGCCTTCCGCATATCTCTTACATCTGTACCCTCTCTATTCCTACTGCTACTTTCCCTAGTACAGGCCTTTATTCTACCTGCCTGACCTAAGTAGTAGTCTTCTTGTAGGTCCTTTATGCATTGCCAGTCTCATCTTTATAACTGGCCTGGTCATGTTATTCTTCTGTTTAGAAATCTTGAGCGACTCCCTATTGCTTGAGTCAAGTCTGCATTCCTTAGCTTGTTATTCAAGGCTCTCCACAATCGGCATCATCCCACTTTTCCAGCCATATCTCATTACTTCACTCTCCTTACAGTATATTGCAGCCAGACTAGACTATTCACTCTTTCTCATCTATGCTCTTCTTAAAGGCTTAAAATCTCATGTGGTAACTGCCTCTATAACTACAATAATCCCTTACTGTGCACCAGGCACATAAACATGGGGAACACCGACACGAGCAAAAAGAAAGCCACGCCCTGCCCTGTCCTCAAGCTCGAAGCACACCAAAGGGAGCTGAAAAGTTGGGAAGGGGAAGGGGAGGGAGAGGCATCCTCGCAGGACGTGATGTCAAAGTCTGGAGAGTGAGAAGCACAGCCAGGAGGGGAGTGAAGGCTGGCCCTGGGAAGAGCTCACCAACGAGAGATAGGGGCCAGCGTGGTGGACATGTTAGGATAAGAAGGCGGCAGGGCTAGAGGAAGGCTGTAGAGTGAGGAGGCCTCAGATGCTGAGGGGAGTTCTGGGCAAGATAGTAGCTCAGGCGCGGTAAAGTCCAGAAGCGGAAGGAAGCGGCGGAGCTGGAAGGGGGATACAAAGCCTTGCCAAGGTGAGAGTGTTTCCCCTCTCAGATCTTGTACACCCTTTGGCTTTACACTCGGCATTGAGTGTATTTTATTATACTTCTCTGCAGCTGCATCTTATTTCCTTCAGGATGATGGACTCCGTAAAGGGAAGGACTTTGTCTTATGTAAACTTTGCATCTCCTCCAGCACAGGTCCTGGTACACATAAACCATAACAACACATAAATGTGTTCAATATGAACTTTCCTCTGACACAAAGAGAATAAGGAAACGCTCAAGATCTTAAAGTTTCTATGACAACTTTTTGAAGGATCCAGAAACCCTAGGTTTTTATCCCTAAATTTTCTAAAAATTACTTGTTTTCCATTAAAAAAAAAAAAACCCCTTTGTGGTTGTATCACCTCAGCATACACAAATCTAGCTTAGGAACCAATCAGCAAAAATGCCTGCATTTAGGAAAACGTAACTATGGCATTTCAAGTGTACCGTGAGAGAGAAGAATTGAATCATGGAGGGCCTTGTGAGAGACAAGTAATCATAAGTTAAAAAAGGAATGAAAAGTAGTAAGGTGTAGTGGATAGAAAGCTGACCTCAAAGGCAGGATGGCCCAGGTGTGAGGGCCACTTCTGACTGTGCTGTGCTGGCTGTGTGGCTCCAGGCAAGTCACTTAACATGTCAGTGTCCCAGACAGCTCTAAGAAGGTACCAGCCTGCATTGGTAGAGAGAGTTTCCTCACTTGTTCCCTAACCCAGTGAAGTCACAGGTCCAGTCTCCCAATCCTTTCATTCCTGTGTAGTTTTTACTGCTGAAATGTCTGTGTACTTCTCACGGTATAAGTGTAGCAGCATAAATAGTAAGTAGTTGGCATGTACATATTTGTTGAATTTATTCTGATTGGCTATCATATTGCATGTTGGTACTGTTCTAAGAAGTTTCTCTTCTTTCCTTCAACCGTTCGGTCCATCCCCATCTTTCTCTCAGCAGATGACATTATCTTTAATTTTACCAAGATAGGCAGCATCCAAAGTGAACTTAAGCCCTCCTCTCCTTAAAACTATTATCGTTGCCCATTTTCTCTTTGCTCTTAATATAATGTCTCCCAGTTAGAATGTGAGATCCTTGAAATTAGGGACTATTTGTGCTTTTCTATTTGTATGCCCGTTACTTGGTACTTAGTAAATGCTTATTCATTCATTCATTCATTCATTGACTGCTGCAGTAGACCTGGCGTGTGGTAATGGGGCCTACACTAGGGTGATGGCAGTGGGAATATAGAGTGTGGAATGAATGCAGGAGATATAGTAGAGATGAAATCAATAGGATATGGCAACTGAGGAAGGGATATGGCATATGAGGAGGGGGGAGAATCAACCACGACAGCAAAGTTTTGAATAGAGCTTACTAAGTGAATGGTAGTACCACGGACAGATGTTGTGAGCTGAGAAGGAGGATGAGGATTAGGCTTTCCCCTAATAATAAACTCTGCTTTAGAAAAGCTGGGATTGAGGGGGCTAGTGGGACATTCAGATGTCTTGTAGTCAGCTAGATATGCAGTTGTGGAACTGACATCAGGGCTGGAGAAGATTTGGGAATCACATTATTTCCAAGGAACAGGATAAAGAGGAAAAAATAGTACTGATGACAAAATCTTAGGGAACATCTTCCAAGGATCTAAAGAGGATGAAAAGCCAATGAAGGAAGTAAGTGCATGGAAAGAGAAAGTAGGAGAACTAGGAGAGGGCAATCTTTGAAGATAAAGGATGAAGGGATATTCAGTAGGTGAATATACCTTCTATCTATCTACCAATCTAAGAAGTGTTGACATAGAAATGACAAGATCTGGCACCTTCCTAGAAATGTGGTGTGAGAGGTGTTTTGAATGAAACCAAGGTTACAAAGCTTGTTGGCTAGGATGGTAGTACTCTCAATAGTAATAGGGAACTTCAGAAGAGGGGTGAGTTTTGGGGGAAAGATAACATGTCCAAAACAGAACTCATCTGAGAACTGGTCATCCACTTTACAATTTCTAGCAGAAGTGGGTAATGTGGACTAGCATTCAGGAGAGATGGAAATATGGATCCAGGAATCATCTGCATAGAGCTGATCACCAAACTCTGGGGGGCTGGCACGGTTAACAAGGGAGAGTGTAGAGAGAAAACGAAAGAGGCCCAGAACAGAGCCTTGGGCAACACATACAGGCATGACATGGATGATAAACCAGCAAATGAGACCAAGGAATGGTCAAACAGGCAAGAGGAAAACCAGGAGATAGCAACATCACAAAAATGCAGAGGATTCAGGAGGAAGAGGATTATCCATAGTGTCAAGTACCAGACAGAAGTCAAGAGGCATGAGAATTGAGAAAAAGTCATTAGGAGACTGGAGAGGTGTTTCCATTATCAATGAGATCAGAAGTTTAAGAAGAGACTGAGAGTTGAACAAAAATGTAAGCTCTGAGCACCGACAGCTTTTTCAAAGAGGTTAGCTTTAGAAGGGGAGGATGTGTGTGTGTATATATGTATGTATGTATACATGTATGTATACATGTATATACACAAACACACACATAGAGAGCTATTGAGGATGGTAGGATCTAGTGGATTTTTTTAAGGAAGGGGGAGACTTAGGCTTACTGGTAGGCATCAGGGAAAGAACCAGATACGGAAAGACTGAAGATGTCGCGGGGGAAATGCTAGTGGGGACAGTATGCTGGAGATGGAAGGGATGGGCTCTCCCCAAAGTTAACTAGTGATCTTTTAGTCACCTTTTCTCAGTCCTCATTCTCCTTGACCTCTCTGTAGACAGTCTGTCACCCTCTTCTTGATACTCTCTTCTCTCTGGGTTTTCAGAACACCACTTTCTCCTGCTTCTCCTCCTACCTGTCTGACTGATCTTCCTTTGTCTTTGCTGGCTCCTCCTCCAGATCATGCCCTTTATCCATAGGTGTCCCTTAGGGTTCAGTACTCACTCCTCATCTCCCTCTACACTATTCCACTTGGTGATCTCATCAATTCTCATGGATTTACTTACCCAGCTTTATATTGATGATTTTAAAATCTACCTATCCTGCCCCAAATTCTCTGCTGACCTCCAGTCCTGCATGTCTAGCTGCCTTTCAGACATCTTGAACTGGATGTCCAGACATCTTAAACTCAATATATCCAAAACTGAACTCATTATCATTCCTCCTAAAACTCCCCCCCCCC